TGTTCAATAAATCTGTTATTTGGTTAAGTTATAAGAACCACTGGCGCCCAATTCTTTGCACCTTGATTACTGTTACAGTTGCACTACACCCTGCTTCCACCTCGATGCGAAGGCTCACTCCCTAAGGTTTAAGGTCTCATCCGGAGCATATGTAATAGGAGTGAAGCCCATAGTAGAGTTAGGTGCACTCAATTTACTATAGCGCTACATTTTGGCGCCCAGCACGTGGGGCTCGAGAAGGGTTAAACTGTAACACCGCACTGCAGCCTAGTGTGACAGGCGCTGCAGGTGCGGACTCAATAGGAAAAAGGCCAGGAAAGAGGCGGGAGACTTCTGTGGTTCTTCTCTCCCGCTCAAATATTCTGGCGCAGTTACAGTATAGTATTTGGCCATAGTGAAAATGCCTACTATACTGCCCAAAGAAATGGAGGGTCATTTCCCCTCAGTTATCCCAGGCTTGATAACTTCTGACGCAGTGTATGCCTGGGCTATTGAGGAAGGTGTAAACCCTCGGCGAGCGGTGGTGATAGATGGAGTTCACCCACTCGCTCCTGTTTACTTAGCTGCATGGCCTTTAAGTATGTTCCCAAGATTTGTGGGGTACCGATTCATAGCCCGTGCCCCTTCAGAGATTCAGGACACTGTGCGGCTATTGTGGCAAGTGGAAAATGAGCTCCCTAATGATGGTGAGGGGCCCTCTATGATTTTCCCTCATGGATTGCCGGATGGTTGTCCCTGTGTTTATGCAAGCCTGCCAGCACAGTCCCACAAAAATGAGAAAACGGTGATAACCCCTTCTGCTGTGTATCTGTGGGCTCTTTTAGAGAAAGTGGAGCCGTGTCAGGCCGTTGTAGTTGACGGCATACCTGAGTGTTGCCCTCCAGATAGTGTGCATCACGCTCTTATGGATAACCCGTTATTCGACGGGCTTGAATATGTTACTAAAGGGCCTTCCATGGAAAAAGGAAAGGTCAGGTTCTTATACTGGGTCCCTGATGAGCCTTACCAGGAAACTTGGCCCTCCAGAGTGTATCCCATAGGCGCCCCTGCAGAAGGTTGCCCGTGTGTTTATCAGGACTATTTTGCACCGCACATCCTTAGTGGGGCCCGTGCTGCTGCCCTTTGTAACCCGCCTTCTGAAGATGAAGAGAGTGTCAGGGTTACTGGGTCCCTTGACAGAGTAGATTACCCGGAGGAGTCTGGGGTCCCCACTGACGTACTACCGCCTGAGCCGGAGGGCCCGGTAGAATCAAGGGAGTGTACGGGACTAATTGAATCTACTCATAGAGGGGACTGTTCAACTGAGGAGGCCTTTGCTACTGAGCGGCCGTGTGAGCCAGAGAGCCCAGTAGTGCTGTTGCTAGAAGAAAGCCCTCCAATAATTGCAATTTCCCTCGCTCTCAGTGATAAGGGAGATGCGAGTGATGTAGTGGCCGTGCCCCAGGAAGAGTCTGGGCCTAGTGCTAATGTGTCCCCAAGTTTGGAAGTGGATTCAAATATTACTTTATTAACGACGGAGTTGTGTGCTGTGAATTTGGACAACTCTCCTGCCATAGAAGTGGCCTGTGTTAATGTGATGCCCGAATGTGCCCCTGTGGAGAATGATCCACCAGGGGGAGCTTCCGAAGAAGTTACTGCTGTGGAAATTTGTACTGCGTCACATTCCCCCTCAATACCCTGCTCAGTGAGGGTTAAGTTGAGGAGCGCGCGAAAGAGACAAAGGAGGCGTGTCAGACCAAACAGAGGAGGTGCCTCTAGGGTCATGGCGTGGCGTCCCAGTGTAGAAGACAGTACCGCAGCCATTTTGTATCTTGCTTCAACCCTGCTGGAGTTAGCGGATGCGAGAAGGCAGATGGCGGAGCCTGTTGTTGAACCGGAGGTTCAAGTGCTTGAAGAAAAGCCAGTGCCGTGCGCTCCTACTCTTGCGGAGCATGAGCGGCAGTATGTGTATCAAGGGACTTTCTCACCCAGTGCCCGGGGAATGGTTCCAGTATGCGGCCTATGTGACCTGGAAGCACCAAACGCCCTAGAGGATCCCGGTGGAGCCTGCGTGCAATGCGGCTCTCAACTATGGATGGGACCTTTTGTTCGGGCAGATCTGCCTCCATTGGTGGGGATGACCAAGGATGAGGTGAGCGGCAACTCTATACTAAATTATGAAGAGATAGAGGAGGCCCCGGGGGTGTCAGCGGCTGCGGCTCCCGCACCGGAATCCCATGTACCTATTCCCCATAGTGAGGCCTGCTGTAACGAGGAATGTGCATTCCCCTCTAAAGTGGCTTCGATTGAAGGT